GCCACTTCAGACTGTTCAGCACATTAAGAGCAGAAGTGCAGTTGTTATTAACATTTGTAGAGCCATGTATTGCAGAGGCTTAGCTGTAGAGAACGAGCTCTTGACACAACTAGTTACAAAGGCTGGACAATGTCTTGAGGCAAGCTACGCACTCAAAGCATGCATTACATAAAATCCCCAGTGTGTCTTAAAACAAAGCATTTGGAAGAACGAATACATTTTGTTTAGCGCACATTGTAACAAGAGCAGCTGGAGACTTCATAGCTCCACCAAGACTAAAAACTTCCTCCACGTTATGCGTAAAACGAATCACTGAAGGATATGTGAATGCAAAATGTTTTGTGATATTTTCTTGATAACATCAAGACAGTGTCTCCCATTTTTTTCTTAACTCAATTCGATATGTATTTATGAAGATATGATCCAAAGTGCTGCGATAAAGAATCCTTCCAAAAAGTCCTGGATCTTGAGCATTTCCAAAAGTTAATAACTTCTAATTTGGGCCTTGCCCCCCCTCTAGTAAAATGCAAATCCATTTATAACATTTTGAGTAATCATGCAATCAAACAAACTGAATCAATCACATAACCTCCTTTGGCGAGGTAACTGAGATCATGAACGCTTGGGCTAACAGACTCTACTGATATTTACAACATAGGTGTTACAATACTGTTTCACAAAGTACCACAACTATTAAACCACATGTAAAATGATTTCACAGTAGTTATTTTTTAACAGGTGCAAATAACAGAATACCTAAACATTGTCATAATTAATTTATCATGCACCCACAGCCAGTAACAATGGACCGATAAAACACGCACAATCACTGAAACGCTTCATTTCTTCAGGAAAATTCACGAAGAAATGCTGAGAGCTTCATCATCTGTCATGTTGGACCTGTGGGTGATGTGATAACTGACTTCTTCTTGCTCTGTGACCGGTTCATTGCACTCATGGGTCGAATTCTTCATCACACTGTAATACATCGGCACATTGTACTCGGCCTCCCTGTGGCCCCAGTGGCACTTGCATAGCTTTTTAAAAGCAACACGAAACTTCTGAGACATGAGGTTATAAATGATGGGGTTGATGGCACTGTTGGTGTAGATGCACATCCGGCAGAAGAGCAGGAACCAGGTGTTGTGGTACGGCGGGTCAATGAAGGAGTTGACCACTACTAGCGTTCGGTAAGGCATCCAGAGCAGAGCGAACAGGATGACCACAACAGCCAGCATCTTTGTTATCTATTGAGACAGCAGAGGAAGGAAATAAGGAATAACAATGAGGAAGAATACAATTATGTGAATTATCTCAGCAGACATACTGCATGCCGTGACTCAGAGTTTACTGTCAAGTGAGTGTTGTAGAGGATGCCCAATATGAATCCATGACGCACATAAATAGCTCTAAGGCTGTACATAAGGACAGGATAGGTCAGTTTGCAAACATGCTTGTAGTGAGAATAAAAGACCCTGTCAACCACAGTGAGAAAGTCTGCTATCACAGAGAGCCAAATGATAAATAATATGTTGATATGAAGATCATAGCACTCAGTTTAAGTCCTTGAAGACATTCATAGTGCTTACTTTTGCTAGTTAGCCCTGAAGACATTTGTTAATTAGTCTCATCAGTGAAAGCTGACGGGAATTGTTGGTACCTTTTGGCTATGAACAAATAATTTGGACAAATGAAAATTTTGATCAATTGTTTCCTTAGGCTAGATGAAAACATAATTGAAGAACAAAACAATTACAGCCCACCTCGAGGGGGATGTGAGTGGCCAATCCGAATGTCATGGCAAACACTCTAATAGTTTTCTATTAGTTCACTCAAAACTACAAAGGTCAGGTTAGCGGGGATGGCAGAGACTGGTTTCCTCCTCTGGGAATACTCAGCGTGTTTATGAACTATCTTGTCAGGCTGTTGAGTTATTTAGCTGTGGTATAGTCAAACCCATCCACAAAGCCACTTTGAACCCAAACAAGCACCCTATTAGGACTGAACCTAAATCTGTTTATGGATTTTTATTCAGAACCACTCAGAAAACCCTTTTATTACTTTTATTTCCTTTTTGCTCTAAGCTTCTTGTCTTTATAACCTTAGCAGTACCTGTTTTCTTGCAGAGACTGCACCCTTGTTGGCCTTGTTGGTGGTACTGGAGTGCCCCTGGTGAACTGACCCGCCTCCGGCTCGGTCGTTAAGATGCGAAGGCAGAGGGCTCATGAACAAAATTCTGGCAATGAGCCCATACAGCACAGTGGCCACAATGAGAGGGATCACGTAAAACAGAGTGAAATCTAGGAAATAAATTGGCATGTAGAGGCTTCTGGAGACACGGTAGCCACAGGTGACGACCACCCCGTTGGTATAGACGGTCTCATCTGTGTCCACTAAAAAGAACCACATCGTGCAGTAGAGCGAGGTAAAAATCCACACTCCAGCTATGATTCTCTTGGCTCGGGAAACAGTGCATATGAACTGTGCCTTTATGGAGTGACAAATAGCAATGTATCGTTCAATAGTGAACGCTGTGATGGAGCAGGATGACACGTTGATGCCCAGGTACTGAAGATAAGTTATACACAAGCATCCCGTGTAGCCATATATCCAGAAGGCTACAACATCAGAGATATTAGGCAGGCCTGCAGCCAGGAGCACAATGAGGTCTGCGACAGCCAAGCTGACAAGGTAACAGTTAGTCGGGGTCACCATGTGTTTAGTGCGCAGAACAACCAGCACCACCATGATATTCCCAGCAATCCCAACTCCACAAATGAGCATGGTCAAAAATATCGTTATGACTTGTTCTTCAAGAGGGTTCAGAGGCATTTCTGTCAGATTTAGAACCCGACTGACATCCTGAAAGGTGGTTGTGTTGTTCTCCATCTTGCTCAAGTCCAGCTGCCAAAATTCAGTTAATCTTCAGGGGCAAAATGGGAATCCTCAAGGCAAAAATGTGGAGAAACAAAATTATTAGACAGCAGTTTTGCTTGCAGGGTGTTCAATATTACAATTCTTTTCGTAAAAGCCTTTAATTCTTGTCTAGATTTTAAAAAAGTGTAATACTCCCTCTCCCAGCTACAGTTTAAAACCAGTGTACGGATGCGCCTTGATTAAAAGGGGCATATCATAAGAATAATTTAAAATGAGTAAATAAATAAACAAGAAGTCAAATTCAAACAACAGAGACCACCTGAAGGTTTTCTGGTGTGACAGCCTAAACGCAACAAAATATAATAATACATTATAAGATGAACAAACATGAGCATTGACAAATTGCTTTTGTTAAACAATGACCCACACAATAACCTTAGCCAATTAAGTTCAAGCTAGTTTGGGTTAAATGAGGCATTTTGTTAAGGTTACACTTTTTAAATAACAATACTGTGTGAAATGTTTAGTCTAGCGCTTTGTTGATCCATTCACTCACTTTAATCTCCTCCCTATATGGACTCCTGTTGCAATTATTCTGGCACAAGGCTTGAAAACATCACTTTGTCACACTTCATGAAATAACTGTAGCAAGCTCTGTAAACGATAATAGATTTTAAGAAATAGTCCTAACAGCCATCAATGCACACATTAATAGCAGCAACTTGATTTAAAAAGGTGCTACAATTATGCTTCTAAAAAGCTAAGCTCCCATCTTCATAAATGCTAATGTTGTCTTCATTCAGTTCATTATTAAACACTGGTTTTATTCAATGCTTGGATGTGATAAAAAAAAAAAAATGTAACCCTCAAAATTGAAATGATTGTTCTCCTCTGCATTAAAGGCCATCATGCAGACTAAATCTATAATTTCCAGCAATGTGACCATTTAAAATCATCTCACAAGGTAATGCTGCAATATACATTTAGGGTGATCAAAAATGTGAGACTTTCCCAGTTCTCCTACAAATGCCAGACGCTTCGGGAAGGAACAAAAATGCACGTTTGGATTTGATTTAGTTCAGGGAAATAAAATAATGAGATGATAAAGGGAAAAAATTGGCAGCTTACCATCATTTGTGAAAGGCAGTACCCAGGTGCAGTATCCCAGGAAATATAAGTGACTGCTTAATCCTCTTTCAGAGTTGCTCCAGTCGCCCACATCTGTCTCACTCGCTCTCTCCCTCTCTCTCCTTTCCCAATATACTCCTCCCTCCATCTCACACCATTATATCCAAACCCACCTCCTACAGTCACCACGTACAAATCAATTTTATCTTACCATCCAAGCCCTGAACATCATGTCAGCTTCTGTGGCTATAACCCTGTAATTACTGAAAGAACAGCACAGGCACCATGCAATTCAACACACCATCCACTGGAATGATTGAACATGCAATTAAAATAGCACTAATTGCTGTATTAAGTACAGCCTTTGTGGACACCAGATGTAATTTAGTTAACTCTTCTCCTTGTATAATTTACATTAAATTCTCCAGTTTTCTAAAGTGTGTAGAATTAGAATAATTCTTCTCCCCAGAGGGACAAACAGACACAGACATCCTAAGATTAAGAGTCTTGCTATTCCCATGATGCACATTTGGGAACGCTTTTACAGCTTCTGGCATTATACATGTGAGGGTAGAGCTGATACTGTTAAATAGTTGCGCTCCCCATAGCAGAAAAAATGATAACACTGGTCATCCACAAAATCAGAAGTGATTGAAAACAGATTAAAAAGCTTTTTGACCCTCTGTCTTTGGACAAGGCTGTCACTGAGAATACTAATGCTCGCAGATTCTTGGATTTTCAGTCTGCAGACTGCGTGTAATGAATATGTAACAGTGTCAAAGAAGAAAAAAACTTACAGAACAGGTAATTTTCTGATTGAACTGCTTCATGTTATGAAAGCTTAATGAGGATTATAGTTAGAGTGTTTAGAAGGCCACATTATTTGTCAAGTCAAAGGTATCAGTCAGAGTTTATGAAAAATATACATAAAAAGGATGATAAAGTGATTTATTTTATTTTGTTTTATTTATTATAACACAGGAGCAATAACTCATAATATCAGACAAAACATGAATAATTTATTATTATCATCTCTACACTGCGGAGACAATTGTGAAGTGGCCAAAAGTCACGAGTAAAAATAGACAATGAAGAAGTCTATTAATATTCTGGGATGAGGTCTTAAAATAAACCCTCACAGCTTCATGGGAATTTTAAGCAGGAGCATACTGATATGCAAAAGAGAAAGGAAATAGGGGCACTGTGATTAAAATAAGCTGACGAATCATTGAACATGTGGATGAAACAGATTCATTTAATCTATTAAAGGTATTCGGGTCAGTACAGTGTTCCAAAAACTGTAAGATCCGACCTGTTACTGTTCATTTCCTGACAGGAACTACCACCTCTTATTAGTCTTTGTCCCCAGCTGTCCAAAGCACCATGGTGGCATCTAGTGGGGCTGGATGGTAAAACAACAACAACAAAAAAAGGCTAACTTGCAGAGAAATAAAAGAAATAAAAGAGAACACGGAAAACATTGCTCTGTGATGATATCATGGGGGGGAAAAGTTACCAGGCGAGTCTCTGTCCAAAACAAGATGCAGATTCAGCAGAAGTGTTGGTGCATCGCTTTGAACCACAGGGTTTGAAGAGGCGTATGTTGAGTGTTGACTCGCTTACAGAGGAAAGGTGTTATAACTGTGACTCATACACAGGATGCACTGTATTCAGTTTACATTTTGCAAAACACAAACAACGAAGACCACCGAATGAAACAAGAAACACTGTGAGCCCTGTGAGCCAAAAGGTCAGGATTGAGACAGCTCTGTTATTTCTACTCTTGTATGAAGTCGTTGAACAGCCTTAATACGACACAAATACACAGCTCTGTGGGCATGAACCTTTTGTTTGCAAAAAGCCTCAAATAAAAAAAACAACAACTAAAGTTGGTTTTGATGGGTGTGAGTAGGGATAGAAAATAAAGAGAGGGGCTGCACCAAAGCCCAGTATAAGATAACTTTTTGAACTGTGAATCAAGCAAAGCTGTTCTATTAGAGTTCGTAATTAAAAGGCTAACAGGACAGATCATACCAATATACAAAATTACACATCCACACGACTTTGGTTACATCACAAAGTGAAAGTACCACTAGATAAGTTGATCCAAATGGTCTAAACATGCAACCCATTGCCATAGCAGTCTATTCATTAGCTGTTACATGTCATTCAAACTTGCACATGAACAGAAATGTGCCCTTTTCTGTGTTTTTTATTTTGCTTCACATGCATTTTCCTCATCAAGTAAGCTATTCTCTTCTCCTCCTGCTTTCTGAAGAAGGATGCAGAGATTTTTCTGCGTATCTGCCTTGCGTAAACCTCGAGGAAAACCAGAAAGTAGCTCATCAGCCAGAGACATCCCAGCAGGAGTGTGACTCCCAGGTTTGGAGCTGAAGTTGTCACATCACAGAGAGATGGCCCAGGGCTGAAATTCCACTTGTAATCCCTGTGGAAGTTTACCAGCTCCCGTTTGATGCAGGATTGTGGGATAATACAAAACGCAGGGGGGAACCACTGAACCTAAAAGGAACAACAAATTTATAAAAGACTCCAAAAAGCCAAAAAGAAAATAAAAAGATTAAATTGAGCGAGTGCTGTCTTACCTTATAATTGACACTTATAACAGCAGATGTAGGTGGAAAATCCAGCAACCATGGCACAATCATCTGAACTATATAGTACACAACATGATCCAAAACTACTATTAGGGTTATTGCAATGAAATATAAAGTTACCACAATCAGTGATAGGAAACAAGAGGAACATTCCTGACTTATTACTTTACAGTTTTCAAGATTGATTTTATTTTTAGCTGGCCTTTCATTAACTGGCATTTTTTGCAAGAGCTCTTTGGAGATGTACCCATTATCAAAATGAACTGATGTCAGATAAGATTTCAAGTAGCGTGCAGACTCAGCGATCAGCAGTGCAACAAAGACGGCAGCAAGAATCCGGTTTGACAGCAGTTTGTATTCTCTGAGGAGGTTCCTGGCATGTGAGAAGTTGACCTCTATCTTCCCAATTATCTTAGTAAACATGCTTTTGACATCTGACACATCAATATGTGTGTAATGATCCAAAGTCCTTAAGTTGGTAACAATGCTCAAGTCCTCCCACTTTACTTTGATGGCTTCTTCAACAAGGTCTGTCTTGGCTTTGTTCAAAGGTTCAGATGAGTTTAATAAAGTCTTTGCAAAACCCTCAGCAGTGCATTTCAGGATGCGTGCCACTGCTCCCACATTTACTGTGATATTAGGGATGACATTCAGCACCAAAATCATGACAGAGGCCGTGATGAGGAGTTTCCGTCCTTGCTTGGTGCAGACTGTAGGAAGAATCATTGTTAGCACACAGCGCAGGGGATGACACAGGAAGGAGACCAGAAACATGCTCACGCTGTAGATACTGACAGTTTGAACCGACACTTCGTAATCATATCTCAGACTTTTTGACAGCCAGTGGTGAAGCAAGCCACCAGTAACACAGGCAAGTGTGAAACAGAGAGACAGCAGAGTGAGGATGTCCCTGCCTGCAGGAGAAGGTGCCGAGTAAACTTCCCAGAGGTATGACAGCAGAGACGTTAAGGCCTGTCTGCAAGATCCTGCTCTCTTTCTGGGGAGAAAACAATACAACACTTTATATTTAGAATATTTAAAGATTCAACAGAGAAGTGGCTCTAAGCATTTCTTATTAACACTAAACAGTGCAGAAGTATTTGTCCCCTTTCTATTTTTTTTTCTTTTTTGCATATTTGTCTCATGTTTCAGATCGTCTAACAAATCTGAATATTGGATAAAAACAACACAAACAAATACAAAATACAGGTTTAAATGATAATTTCATTTATTAAAGGAAAAAAGGCTATTCAAACCTACCTGGCTCTATGTAAAAAAAGTAATTTCCCCCTAAATCACAAATTAACTCTTTTGGAAAGCTTAATTCCTCCCACCAGCCCTGAATTGTTAGTCCAGTTGAATCAAGAAATCACTAAAGTAGAACTTGTCTGACAAAGGAAAGTAGGCTAAAACATCTAAAAAAGCAACACGTTATGCTCAATCTATAGAAACTCAAGATCAGAGGAGAAACAACAACATCTATAAGGCTAAAATATTGAAACATATGCTAAACTAAAACATAATTTTTTCTTCCGTCCGCACGTTACAAAAAAAAACATGCAACTATTTTCTCCCTATCGTGTTATTTTACAAATAATGCATTTTCAATGCCTGGGTTTGTAAAAGACACAGTGGAAAACAAAAGTTTTTTAATAATAATAATAATAATAATAATAATAATAATAATAACAGTTAATTATAAATAATTTAAATAACAAAAAAAATAGATCAACTCCTACCTGACAAGCAAAACAAAATTTTCTGTGATCATCTTCATCCTCTCTAAGAAATTAGGAGCCTGAGAAAATAAACAGGAAGTGTTGGTGGACTGTAAAGGCTAAAAAGGGGAACTTTGCGCAACAGTCACTGTCATGTTGGTTGCCTACAAGTTCCACGTGGGAAAATAAAAAAGATAGTCCCTCTGCATCTAAACCACACATGACACAAAATCATATGGAGAGCATGACACACTCATAAGCCCTATGTGGCAGGTCACACTAACCAAAGTGCGCTTTCAGAATGATTTGATGATGGTGACACTGACAATACAAGTAACAGAGCACTTTGCTTATAACTCCTCTTCTAAACTGAAAATAGTTTAGATGACATAACACTTTTGTGTGTCATCTTTCCTCTGGTTTCTCATGTTTCTACCACTGAAATTTACTTTCTGTCTTGTGTCAACTGAGCTTGGGTGCTAAGAATTAAGAATATAATCGAGAATAAGCTATATTAGGCAATTATATCTAGCAACAACTTTTTTTTAGCTCTTGAATGGAGGCAAGAAATCCATGAAGGTGGGTTTGTTTTCTCTTTCTGTCCAATTGAACATCAGAAAACATCAGAATTGCTTCAAGTTTAAACAAATAAAAGCTGACATTCAGTAACCACCTTGTGTTTTACGTTTTGTCCACTGCGTCCTTAGTTACTCGGTTTGGTGGAAGCAATGCCAAAAAAAGGGGCTGTCATATTTAAATGGGCAAAAGGACCTAAAATCCAAAAATCCAAAGAAGAATAACAAATCCATGAGACACCACAATAAAGGCCTATTTATTTTGAGTCTTAAATACTAATTGGTTTTTGTTTCAAATTTTATGAATAACACACACACAAAATAAATAAAGGCATCAAGTCACAGTTATGAATCTGCTTTGGGTCAAAGGTTATTTGCCTGTAACCTTTGTATTTGTTGTACAAATTAGTACATTTGGTTACGGTCTGTTAGCTTTGGATAACTTTTCTGATTTCACATTTAAACACTACAGACCTTTTGCTGTGGCAACGCTTACACTGAATAACCAACACATTACTGCACAAGTTAACAATTGTTGGGACATGTGAGGACACCAAGAGAACATTAAAAAGAATTTTGTGCTTTGTGCTGTGTGTCTATGTGTGTGTGCAGGGGCCGCAATGTTCCAGCAAGAGTTTAAAAAACTTTCCTGATACAAACAGGGGAACTCACTTAAAACAAAACAAAACTGTGCGTAACAAATACATAAACAACATCAAGTTACAAACTGGCTTTATTTATGACAGCACAATATATGAGTGCAGATCACCATGTAACAAAAGTTACACATTCATTAGTCAAGATTCATAATTTAATAAAGAAAATGATTTAAAATGTTGTTTATGTGGTATGGCTTTAGCAGTGTGCCATGTGAAACATAAACAAGTAACAATCTTTTAGTGATTTTAACCATAATATATACTTTAAAAAGTGTTATTCACAGTCTCATTCCTTCTTCCAGCAGAGGTCAGCCTGTAGTAACGATACAAACAGCACACTCTGCAGTCTGACTGATTATTTAAAAAATATAAAACACTCTTCAGTGCTCAAAGCATGTGTTTGAGGTTAGATGTTGCTCTAATTCAGTTTTAAGAAAGCAGAGAGTAAAATACTTCAGCAGTTTTTAAACTTAGCAATACATCAACTCTCATTAACTGAGTTCATGTATTGCACAGCTTAAACTCTAGACCGTTGAGACCCTAAAAAGGCAGTCAAATATATATATGATAACCTTTTCAAAGCATCGTTAACAGCTGGAAAAATGTGTTTTCTGACTGTGACAGTACAGAAACAATTGTAGTGAAGAATTTATACTGTATACACTCATCATAGGCATGAATGTCATGGTAATTTTGAGCTTTTAATGATTTCTTTGAACTAGACTTTTTAATGGGTGGAATGACTTTTACAGCGTCTTTTATGACTTAAAAAAATATTTAGGTGCACAAGGGACTAATAAAGGTTATCTCATCTTAAGTTTGAATTTACTTTGGATTTTCTCTAATCCACAAGTCAAAAGTATATGTACAGGCTCAAATATATAGACAGACAGATGTACAATCACCCTCCTCCCCTCCAAATGCCTCCGATGCCCGTCCTTTATGTTGTATGGTGTGTTCATGTGCTCTCGGTGTTGCTGTGTTTTTTTTCTGTTCTCAAACTGCCTGTAGGAGCTCAGTCTGGGTGGAGTTCTTTTTTCTCCCCATCTTCTCAATGTGATGTATTTGAAATGTATGTACGGTTGGAAGGGGTCAATTTTCACAGCATATATTGCTTTAAAGTTGCCACCTAGTCACTTGTGGACATTTCAGGTCCTGGTTGCCTAGGTGACCCACTACTTTATTTATGTCAATCAACAGTATTCTTCACTGTCATTGGTAGATGTCTAATGACCAAAAATCCCAAATATTCCAATGAAACATGTATGCTGTGTAATCATCCCACCCATTAAAATCTCGAATTCAAAGAAATCATTAAAGGCCCTAAATTACAGAGACACACATGCCCACGATGAGTGGATGTAAACCTCTGATCACAACTGTATCTACTTCAGTTTTTCCTCCCTGCTCACTCTTCTGGTACTTCTTCTATAATAACTTCTTGCTAAAATCTGGTGTGTGATCACAACGTGGCATTAAGCGACTGAGCCACAGATAAGTGCGCATTGGTCACAAGAGCAGACTTGTTAAATGGGAGAGCCCATTCAGGGTAAGTATTCAAATTAAACATGGCAATGCCCCACGTATTCATTGCCAGAGTGACTGACAGGATACCCAGGATGTTCATCACAAAGCCAGTTTTCACCTGAGGAACCAGAAATGGAAAACATAAGCTGTAATTTTGTGTAATATTTTCAAAGTCAAGAGCCAATGAGGATCTTACCATGTCTTTCACCATAAGGTGTCCAGATGCAAAGGCAATTGAGTTGGGTGGTGTGGACACTGGCAGCATGAAGGCGTATGAACATCCTACTGTGGCAGGTATCATGAAGTACAGAGGGTTCACTGAGACATTAATAGCCTGTGGAGGGAAAAGATGTTTATGACAGGATGTATAAAAAGGCCCATTATGCTTATTCAGAGTGAAAATCCAGAATTAAATTTAAAGTACAGTAAGGGGACAAAGGTGAAAAGAACATTCATTATCATTTGGCAAAGGCAGCAAAATACAGAAGCATAAAAGTTTTATATACTTCATTTTGGAGCAATACATTGCAAAAACAGATAATACAGGAGTTGGGTTTGCATGGCTCTCTGGAGTCCAATTAACATATAATATACAAAATTAATTAAAAAAAATTAAGAAACTAATTAAGAAACGAATATGGGCTGTAAATGCAATAACGGTCAATCAGTCAATTCTTTTATTGTGTGCTTTAGGACCCTAGCCTACAGATTGTTTAAATCCTAAAGCCTTAATCATCACTGACTACATTTCTGAAAAATCATGTTACAGTACTGATATGAACTAACTATGTACAGAATAGTTACTTTTTATTTTTTTTATTAAATGCTAGTGTTAACATGATCACATGTTCACTCTATATAATTATAGACTGTATATCAAGATGGAGGCAACTTTGCTAGTTACAAAACAATTGTATTGGGATCTGTGTGAAAATGGATGTTTGTCTCCCTCGATCTATAAACTATTTTAACACTTTGTTGATGGGTTTGTGGTCTTAATCACTAGTTTTAAGTCTTATTGTCAGCGCCACCCATTGTTTGTAACTTCCAGTTTCAAAACAAGATGATGATGGCCAAAATACTCAGCTCAAGGATGGGAATTCAGTAACCAGTTAAATAACAAATAATAACACCACTAATGAAGGTACTGCAGAATGGGAGAAAAATAAAAATATAGGAAATGCCATTCACTTGTTAGCTCCAGAAGATAAACTAAATTATTATTTTAGCGCGTGTACAACTTCAAATACAGTAAAAGCAAAATGTGTGTTGTGCCTGTTTGTGTTTGTAATAACAGCTTAGTATCCTAAAGTTTAAACCTAGCCTATACAATTACATGCTATTAAGTGGTTATTCTTCCTGTGTAGCCATTGTCTTGGAGTACTTAAGCTCCAGATAATAATTGTCTAACAACAGTTAATGTCCAACAGTCTACAAACATAAGAACATCTATTGCAAAAGTTTAACAAGACCACTAAACCTCTGAGTGACATAAAGGACAAGGTCGACAGCAAAACGTGTTCACCCTTCACTTTGACTTCTTTATCTTGTAAGACAGTCGTCCAGTTTGTTTCCCTGATGGTCATCTGTGTCAGTTTGATTGCACTGACATGGTGCAATGAGTTTGTACCTCACACAGGTAAACTGATATGTGAAGATATTTTTCTCAGCTAAAATATAACACAGGAATAAAAAAATAATCTGATGATATACTTTCACTTTAATTTCGCATACAGTCTAAAACTGTATGCAAAATTGTATATATTTAGGTTGAAGACCAGCCTTACCAGTTCAGCAATGACAGGTAAAAATATGATAATGGTGGCAGTGTTACTGGCAAACTCAGTGAAACAAGCCAGGAAAGCAGTGATCAACATCACAGCTGCAGCAGGAGGGACTTGAGCCAAAGGCTGGAGGTGGCCTCCCATCCAGGACGCGAGTCCAGACTCCTGCAGAATGCCACGTGACAGAGGTGAAAGGTTGAAGATCAAATAACAACATAAGAAACCAAAACAGAGAACTTGAATCAAACAAAGCACTGACAACCGAAGGAGAGCAGAGACACGTTTTAATAAACAGACTTAGTAGACTTTAATTTCCTCCATTTCCACTCTAAACTATAGAGGTTTAAAGAAACATTAGTAAGCAAACTGAAAATAACAGCTTCCTTTGGTATTTTGGGGGAAATGGTCCCAAAATATTTGCTAAAAAGTTGGATGCCACCATAGGCACCACATAGCAGTTTTAACTTAGCACAGAGACAGGAAACATTGTTGATGTATTATATGTATTACATACATATTATATGTAACATCTTTACCTCACAAGCTTTGGCCATGGCGAAGCCGCCTCCAAGCAGCATAATGATATTCCAAGGAACCGATTCCTGGGCTTTTTTCCAGGAAAGGAGAGGCACATAAGGAGTGTTTAGAGCTGAAGAAAAATGTGAGATAAAACAATTAGAAAATGTTTATCATGTGTAGAAAAATGTAAAGGCTGTTGTGCACCGATACAATGTGAGATTAAAATCCTTAAACTTAACTGTTAACCTTATAATGAGTAGTAAAAGATTCTGCCTCAGTATAACATCTCCATTCCTTACTTTATTTCTATTTTCCTTTTTTAGTTGCTTTGTCTTTATCTTGTAAAAAGTTTGACTTGACCCGGAGAGCTCTGCACAAGAATTCCAGTGTGCATGGACTGTTGGTCCTGTGCTCAAATGGCAAATAAAAATCTTGAATCTTAAAGAGGCGGAAGAAGTACCTCTGGGTTTAGGGATGTGGTGAAGAACACGTTAACATATGGATGAGTTGAAAATCAAACTACTACCAAACTGCTTAGCAGCAAACCACATAGTCTACCATATAATATATTTGGCACGTTAACATACACATTTTAGTGCTTTCTACCAAATATTCTTTTGTA